TACCTCCATTTTTTCCTGCCTCTCTGTCATCCCTCGTTCTCTATTTCTCTCTTTCTTCCTCTCAGAGAGTCTCCCAATGCCTGCAGCCTGAACCCAGCGGCATTATAGTGGAGCCCGCATCCCTTTGCCATTAACCTCCCTTTCAGCTCGTGCACTGACCAGCAGAAAAGAAGGCAAATGCAGAGCCGAGAAAATCGGGTGCAAGCCTCGAATCCGAGTTCTAAATCAAGATTTCAGGGCTCAAGAAATACCGTCTACGTTGAGGAACCCTGACTTTATTACCCTTGGCGACCTCAAACTCTGGTGCATAATTCTATCGGAAGAGGATGAGTGGTCTCTTCAAAAGGACCTGAATGTCCTGCTGGACTGTTCGATAATGTGGCGGTTGCCAAAAACATCTCAATATGTGTCCACACGAGAATTTGAAGGCATGGTTTCACCACCAGCTATCGCTTTAGGAGCACCATTCTCCGATAGTCATTTGCGGAACGAGATTTGGGAGTTGATGTTAACAGCAACCTTAAAATTCGTACGCATGGAGAAAGGGTTTTCGCTTCTATGGGGAGCATGGACGATGCTATCAATCGTCTGTTTGATCCTTTGCTCCCGACGGCTTTCAGCTTATTGTTTGCCTCCCATTAACGGCCTTGAACTAAATGTCTGAATTACCTCTGAGAAACAACAACCGTTTCCAAGGGACATGCACTGAGGCTCCCTGAGATGTTCAGTTGAGTTCAGTTCACTTTGCACAGGATAATGTGTGGCCCGGGCCAATCGTGCGTCCAGATGGATGTGTTGTTGGCTGATCTTGTGGCTTCCAACAGTGCGAGTAAATAGGTTTTGTCTGAAAGGCAGAATGTAAGGTGCATCTAGGATCAAAGTGTCTGCTGCTTATTTCTATTTTGTCAAGGATAGTGAAGATTGTTTAACAACCTCCTATATGGATGATAATACTCGGTGCCCAACTGCGGAATGTGTTTGAACGGACCTAAGAAAAGTTTCTATGGCCTGAACAACGCGTAGCGCATCCGAATTTGCATTTGCATGATGATTTTCCGCGCAATAATGGGGTTTTTGTTATTTCCAAGGTGACATTAGCGTTTAAAAATGGAGTTCAAGGCTGGTGGACTATTTTTCTCCTCAAATTTCGATTCCGGTAACTTGGCGCGAGTGGAAAGAGTACCTCCGGAGTTTTACGAAGAACACTATGGTTCTATGTCTAATGCATCAACCAGAAACAACACCTCATCGAAAGCCTCTACGAATAATAATTCAGCTGGCAACATTAGCATTCTGGATTTGAGGGTTGATCACGACTTCAAAATTTGGACTCGGCCAGACTGTTCCGGAACAGCTTTCGAAAATGGTAATCGCACGTGGTTTCATTTCTCTGTGCGAGGCTACGCACCTGGAAGGCTAATGAGGATTACAATAATGAACCTTAATAAACAATCTAAGATATACAGTCAAGGTTATGCTCCGATTTATCGAGTATGTCACTCAACGATAGCACATCCTAAGTAAGTTCAAAAAAGTGCTTTCACATTCCGTAGAATAATTAAAGTACCTTCGTGTATATTTGGATAACAATAAAATTTTATTCTTACTTTTCTTCGGTTTTTTCATATCTGTAAAAACATTTTTTCCAATACATGCACAGGAACCCATATGGGTTCATATCATTTCAGGTTCGATAAATCTGATCTGAATAAATATCATTACCGATAGATCAAGTGTTTTAAATCTAAATCAAGTTTAGTTTCTTTTGTTCAGGGTCTCACAATACCCATAAAACAAGAAGCGGTCGCTTCATGGTACCATGCAGCATGAGCGTTACCTGGGTGTCCCCTGGCAGTCACCTGAGCATCCCTTGAGTGACCCCCCTCGATCTCACACAAGCGTCCGAATGCGACACATTTGGGGGATACCCAGGTAACAGTCGTAAAAAATTTGGTACCAGTGGTGTATAATTTTTCAATTAACTCACAATTATAGAACCCTTAATCTGGCAACTTGTACGACAATTACTACTATTTATGTACTTCAGTTGTAATCTAAAACACCATCCTGTTAATCGCTTTCTTACCATAGGGTTCTACGCAAGCATAGCTGTCTTATGTTTGAATAATAAGAAACTCGGTATTTACAAACCTTGCATATTCGGCAACTAATTCTCCGATTCCATTGAACGCCTCCAATCCAATATAAACAATATATTACAAGTTATTATGAAAATGATTTTAATAATATATGTGCCAAATTAGGATAATACATATGTCACCGGTCATTTCCGTGTTTACTGGTGTCTGCGTTTGGAACATCATCTTAAATGAATGTTAAGAAGTCAGATTAATGAAGCGGTTAATAAAAGTGATATTGCAGAACATTGTAATTTAATTAAGGATACACTTACTCGTTGGAAGTTGTTCCGCTGTTATCGAGGAACAACCACGGTGGATCCATCTCTGAATCCTCTCTGTGATGTACTTTATACTACCATCACGGAAGTTATGTTGCATCACAGCATCTGTATGGGTAAATGCCAAAAGAAATTCCATATGTTTACTGATAATAAGACTCGCGGTTTTGCTACCGACGAGGGCTTGTTTTCCAATAATACCCCTCCAGTTGATGCTCGAAAGTTCTTCCAAAATAAACAATTGTGTTATGTCCCGAGTTTAGTCTCCGGCCATGGTCCCTGCAGTGTTGCACAACATTTTCATCTAAAACAAGTTTACCAGGAAAATGATTGTGATTACCATTAACTCATAGTAATCACAGGGGAGTTTGCGTTCTAGTTCATTGAATTCCCTGAGTGTTCGAACTGGAATGCTGCAAACCATTAACCCTTCATTGTTCATTGCTTTGTGGGCAACAGACAACAAATGTACCTCGCGTTTGATCTTCCTTATATCGAAGTGTAATGGATCTTGGAAGATATTTGTGGCAATTAGGGTCACGACTTACTGATAAGCAGCTATCCATATTTTCACGGAGCGAAGGTCGACCTCCCACCAATTTTCTCCTTATTCCTGTAGTAAATAACAAAATGTAGAAATGTTTTTATTAAATAAGTTGAACTTACTGCAATATGTTATCCGATGCCTTTTTTAGGCATTGATGTCATTTTTGGATTGCTTCCAAACAAGTAAAAAGTTTAATAAATTTTTTACCTGCTGGTCGACGGTGTCATCTAATTGTTCATTTCTCGGACTGGTTTTGAAATGGACATGTCCTCTTGACAGCATCGCTTAGCATCCGTCCCGTCAGAGGTGCTATCTGACATTGCCACTGGCTTACTGCAACCTTGATGTACGAAATCATTGACTTACGGTTTGCGTTTGCCATATATTTGCCATATCTTGAGTTTTGCCTCGTAACGCAACTCAAGTTATTTTATCGTGAAACGACTCCATATTATTTTGTCATCTACCGTATGTCTGCTTTTAGGTAGTAGGATCTATTCGCGATATCAAAAAGTAACCCCAAAATTTTCAAGTACCGTAAAGAGCTCCTAAAAGTTCATCACGCATGCTGGTATTCAAACTTAAACTCTGGCCTAGGAGGGATAAGAAAGCAAGGTTTTAATGCGTGCACTGGGAATGTGTGGCAAAGGACAAAAGGCGATACCGCGATCGAGGGTAAACAAGTAGGATGCACCTGGTATAAAATCAGCTTATCTTTTGAGTCATAGGGGACTTTTAAACAAAAAGGGACAAACAGTATTTCACTCCATTTTTTGCATTCATTAACATGAGTAAATAAAGCTTCTCTAAGGTAAGTGTCAGTCCTATGGGTCATAGCAGAGTCAATTCCTTGAGTCACACACCATGCCAAAATACAGGGTCACTCCAGGTAGATCGAAGATGACGTTAAAATGAAAGTTTTGAATATTAGTCAACAAATAGGAGAAAACAAAGAGATCTGACGGGCTTTAGATGTGGAGAAGAGATTGGGATTTCTTTCATTCTCAAAGGTGAAATATATCAAAAAGGGACTTGAGTCCGCATAAGGAGAGCGATGAAAGTAGACGATGATCAAACGTTCCATTGGTGGAGAATGGCAGACATCTTGCGATCAGAGTCATTTAGAACCTATATTTCTTAGGGAAATGTATCCGACCAAACTCTGCGTGCCCCTCCCACTAATGTTCTTATAAGGCTCCATGAATTTATTACGAATTGGTGTAAAATTGATCATGAGAGCCCATAATTACCCTATTCTTCACTAAGACCTGCCTTGGCCTGGGCAACCTGGCAGTACTCAGCCCACAAGCCAATCATGGAACATTTTTCTTTTATAGAGATTATTGTACCATGATTTGTTTGGCACACAGTCTGTCCTCAGACAAGTGTGAAATATATATATTCTTCACTAAGAGGCATATATCACTCATCGAATTGTTTTTGTTACATGCTCACAAGATGCCCATCTGTAACGCAATAATCGTTCAGCTACCTGAACGTTATTGATGCTATAGCATGGCTATGTACGCGATTAGCTGATGGCAATAGTTTAAATAATCCAGAGATATTGACAATGAAGTACTTAAAATAAACAAAACATTTTATAAGGGTAACCATGAAAAGAATAATTAAGCTGTAGATCAGAACATTAACTAGAGCTTTTGGACACTAGGTCCAATTGTACTATTGTGGTTCTTAATAGGACAAGTGATTTGTGCACTAACAATCCAGCAGAAAACTAGGACTCGGACTAAAATCGGTCCGCAGTGCTGGACAACAAAATCGTATTATAATCAGCAAAAATCGGGAACGTACAAGGATATCGTGTTCAGTGAAACAAAGGAGGTTATACTACATATTATACATATTATATACATATATTATATTACAATCACTACATCCGCCGCTACTTAAATGAGGATCTAGTTTTCTGTGAAGACGGGGTCTCTGTTGTGCATCTATTGGAATCCGATTGGTACTTTGGTAATACTTTCAGCACCTATACTGGAGTGTAATTCATCTATAGTAGACTCAATGATGAGATTATTACATTCAGAATTAGTGTAAGTACTGGATGAATTGCAAATCAGTTGCTCTACATGTCCAAGAATTACAGTAACATCGTCTAAATACAATATTCGACATATTCTTTGGCTTATGTTGTCTAGCCTCTGAATGAACGTATTGAATGTATTGCGTTGCAATGTTGCATCAGAAAGTTATCAACGCCTCTGTATAATTTATCAAATGTACTGTGATCCACAAATGCAATAGCGCTCTTCAGTGTGCATAAAAGTTTTCAGCTGAACCATTGCACTGAAAATGCCGGGGTGGAGTTAGAATATTACGATAACTCGAGGAGTTTAACGAATTGGTAGTTTCTTTAGCGGCGAAATGGCTTCCATTATCAGTTACGATAAAGTGAGGGACACCTTTAATTAATGTTTCCTTGAGGGCTCAAATGGTAAATTCTGCCCTAGGTGATGTAGTTGAGTAGACTTCTGGCTAACGGAAATACAGATCGACAGTCACTAATGCGTAATACTTCTTGAAGAACAAACCACACTAACCCACATGTATTCGTTGTCATGACTCGGAAGATACTGATCACGGAGTTCATTTGGAAGGTTGTGTATGAGCCTTGTGTAAATAGTCAGTGCAGCATTTAGCAGTACAATTCAGGTCATGATTTAATTTAGGCCGCTAACATGTAAAATGAGAAAGAGACTTAATCTTTTCAATGCTAAGATAACCGCAATGTAATTCATTCAGAACAGTACTTTCGTAGGCACAATAATGCGATCGTTGTTACACAAAGTATCATCGTTATCCGCACAAATCTCCTCGCGATTTTTATATGATTCCGGAAATCGAGGCTTGAAATAATTGCGCCAACCTCAACGGACACAGGAGATTATAGCGTGATAATACTTTCTGGTCTGACAAACTAAATCAGATTAGCTTATCAGAAGCGGTCATGTGAGTAGACAATCACTCTTGAAAGCCTCCTCCAAAATGACCTAGCATAAAATATAGTCTGCATGAGCATTGGACTGTGCCATCCGATAATGAATGTCGAAAGAATAGGCAGACAGCATAACACTCCGTCGTTGCACCATGGCTGCAGATAAATTTACCAGGGAGGGCTTCATGATCAGTCAAAATATCTGAATTTGGTACCAAAAATATACTTACTCATACGGCTAACAGCCAAATAGACATAAAGAGCCTCAGGTTGAGTATTTGAATACCCTCGTTTGACAGCCGTGAGCCCTTATGGGATGCACAACACCGGATGGTCTAGTCTAATACATCTCCAATTCTAACGGGTGATGCATCGGCGATGATACTGGAAAGTAATCCTGGGGAGAAGGCACGTAATACGGTACCGGTAGATAAAGAGTAAAGCGAATTCCTCAAAGTACTTCATGGACCAAAGTTTACAAGAATGTTTGCTGTCATTGAAAATCACATTGAGGTAGCCTGAGTTGAAAAATTCGGAATAAACTTGAAAAAGTATTATAAACAACCAATTAAAGAGCCAAGTTCATTAAATGACTTAGGAGATGAAGCATTGGTTAATAGAATAAATCGATTACTGTCAGGATGAAATCTGCACTCCTCAAGCAAATAACCTAAAAAATAAAGTTTATTCGTTGCAAAGCTACATTTATCAGGGTTAATAGCAACATGACGGGAACAAAATATTTCAAGTAAAGCACAGGCGCTCGTCACATCAATGTTTGCTATCCCTCAAAAAAATAATAAGCACGCATCTTGAAAACTGGAAATGAACAAATTAGTGGTAGTCTGAAAATGGCGGCGGAAATACTGAGTTCAAAAGGTAGAAAATTGTGGCAAAATCAACCAAAATTTGTGTGACTGGCTCATGAGAGTTTTCATCAATTGATATTTAAAGAAAGCCACCTCTCTAGTCTAGGCTTAATAAAACTTAGACCTACGTAGTTGATGAAGAATATCTTCTGCTTATATAGTGGAGAAAGTAGACTGTTTCAATTCTCTGACCACAATAACCCGACAATCTCCATATATTCTAGGGATAACAGTTGACGTAACTGAACTCGGAGAATTCACTGGTATTAGAACTCCCTGCTGACTATCTTGTTCAACAACTTCTTTACGGGCTCACGGAGTCCAAGCTGAATAATCAAACGTTCCCTAAACAAAGGATAACCAGTTACTTCTAGACTCACCGAATTCATTTTGATACCACACTTTACTTTGGCAAGTTTGCGCATTAAGAGACAAAGAGGAGATTGATGTGTGTCCGACATGAACGAAAATGACAGGTGCATGCATTTCATGCAACTCAAGCCAATTGCATAAATATCAGAATCGGACAGTGAAATGTTCCTTATCGATTTTCTTTAGGAGGCAGTTCACATGAGCTTAAAACGAGTAATGAATGACCAGTGATCCTCTTAATTGAAATGTATGTAGGGAAATGTATAACTGGAGGATGTAGTCAATAAAAAGCTTTGTTAGAAATAAAGGAGTCAACACTGCCAGTGTACATGATAAATTTACGTCGAATAAATTCGTTATTAATGAAATCAAGAGTTATATATATATCGCGAATGTTTTAATGATAAGGATGTGAGCCTGTACTAGCTAAATTTAGGGCCTGTAATTCAGTCGATAAATCTTTGGAGGACTAAAGAGGGAAACGTTCGCTAAAACTTGCTGTTGCATTTTTAAGTTCAGACTGAATATGGCCAAGATTGGCGCACTTGTAACACTTGGTATTGCGGAATTAGCCGCGAATTTCTTTGACCGCAAAACTTACACTCATTACAACGTTTAATCCGTTGATCAATGCGAGCTGAGGAAATGGTGCTGTTTGGTTTCCTCAAATCGTTTTTGGAAAACCGCTTTTATCAGTATGGTGAATGTTTGGAATTACTGGCATTGAACAACACATTGGGTTCATCATAAACTATAGCACGGACATCTTGGTGCTGTTGACGGACGACCTTCACCGACTGAAATGTGCAATCATGTACGGGTAAAAGCTTTTGCAGGAGTTCAGAGTGATTAATATCAACAATTGGTCGACCGCATGGTTGGATTTGTAGTTGGCCTCCGAAATTACATCGTTATGTTTGAATGAATTGCCGTGTAAATTGGCTCGCATCTAGTGTAAGCGAGTGAAATTTGGCTAGTTCAGTAGTTTCTAAAATGGTTGGTTGTGAAATTTGCAATGACAGGATTTTCAAGGATTCGTGCGTTAATGATATACGAGTGCCCGGGAACGCCAAATTCTTCAACAAAGAATATCCGTCCTTTAGGATGACTGTTAAGAAACTAGCAGCTTCACGTTTGTCATCGAAATCTTTCCGCGTAATACGCCGAATCTCAAATTGTTCGAGGTAGGCTTTGACCTCTCGGGTGCTGGCACGAATATTGCCGTTCTCAAAATTCCAGGAATCCATTTAGTTCAAAATGACGGGGATGCAAATTATTGTGATTCGTGCTAGGGCTAGTAATTTGTATCCATATCGGATTCCGCACATTATTAATCCAGCGCAACACTCGTATTTGGGACGAAGTTAGAACGCAGCTCTTGATAGCAAAGTAGCACTGTACTCAGCGGAAATCGGAAATTTACAAGAAAATATAAACAGTTGTCACTGGCTTACGGAAAAACAAATAATTTAAAATAAACAATGAATGAATGGACTGGGATGCAGAACGAAGTATAAGGATTAGACAGTTATAAGGAAAACAGTGGACAGCATGAATAGCAACGATTTTTTGGTGTGTTTTACAGTAAACATTTTGAGATTGTGTTCAATAAAACAAACGAGATCATAGTCTATTTACAATCACCACATGTAGTGAATCGATTATGTATCTTGTGTACCTTCACTCTATATAGAATAGCTGCTCTTGACTTGATCACTGTTTTGAGTGACCACAGACCGCTGTACTTGATAAGATGCCGCATCTTTTATCTGTTAAGCCGTACAATTCCAATGCATTAAAGCAATTACAGTTCCTTTCCTAAAAGAGGACAACTACTTCTTGCAAAGTGACTCTATCCTTTTGTGATCACGTATATATATATATATATATTGGATTGTATACAAACAAACAGAGGGTGCATTCGATTCACATATCAATCATTTTAGTACGTTATAACTTTCTGTATGTAGCAGTTCATTTAATATTTTACTAAGACAATATCGACAACCTAGCTGTTCTTCATAATGGCAATATTGCTGACCCGCCTCCAGTGCTACAAACACATTTGTGGGATTTTTCCGCACACCGTCCGCACTTGGAATATAATATCTCGGTACACTGGTCAAGATTCATTATGCATTGATATGCAGTGACCAACCTGTACAGCCGTAGACTCAGTCCAATCAGACTCCAACGAAATGCAGTCCATCGTTTATGAACTAAAAGAGACCAAAAGAACTCTAAAAATAACCCCACTATCCTAATAGGCATATTTCCACAAGAACAGTGATAATTGTGTCCCGTACTTTCAGATAAATATATCTTAGATTGTAAAGTCGCCTCGATAAAAGTTACCCGAAACGTCGGCTTATTTTCACCCGTACCGACATCGCTGTGTTTTCACAATTACAACTTGTCTAAATTATATCACAAGATACATCGATTTTTTGATACAATCCGAACTTCACTCGGATCTGACACTATGAAAAATATCAGAGATTTGGATACAGTCACTCCTGTAGCTGAGTTTTCACTCTTACAGAATTAGATCATTTTAAAAATTCCTTCCGGATATTTTTCATAAATACAGTACAGTTAGTTTGAATCTCAAAATGGTTAGTCAAACATTGCCAACCAAAAGTAAATTAGTGTCTTTAAACTCTGTTTCTCCGCGTTCTAGTCTCTAGTCTACGATATTTTTGATCAAGAGGAAAGAATAACAATAGTTACTGATTAACATAGTAGTCTCCATCTGTTTATCCTTCAGCCTATCCGTGAGGACACGTGAAAGAGAGATCGTTCAAAAATGTAATCTTAAAGGCAGATATTTCGAATCTTCGTGATGTGCACTGAATCTGCAATAACGCAGTACCAAGGAAGAAGAAATCCACGAGCTATTTGCGTAATTATTTCGAATTTTTGTTTAAGTTTTCTGAAACTGTTTCATTACCTGGTCATATGTTGGTCTGGATGAAACAATCACTTCGTAATGATCCACGTTATCCCAGCGTTATGTATAAAGGTTAGGTGATAACAATTGAATGGGAATTCTATATCGTTTATTGATTTTGAAATGTAAACTCATTGCTACATTTTTCTCGTATCCTCAAATGTGGTTTTACAATGTTCGATCATTTTATTATATTATTTTTCACAACCACGTTTGCGGTACTAAATGAACTACTATCTGTATCCGTTCATCAATAATACGAACAATCATGTCTCAGGGGACTTGTCCTAAGCGGGTTAAATTCGTAATACTTATCTTTGACGATTTGGGTTGTCCTGTTAGGGAAAAGAATCCAGGTAAATTTCCAATAAAATGGCATCCCTTTGTGTCTATATTTTTTTCAATAAGCTTGTTAGATCAAATTGAAAGTATATTTTCAAAGAAATGTTTTACGTTTTTCTAATTTGCGACACGTATGTAGCGATGAACTTAAAAACCCAGTTACTTGCATCATTTATTAAGAAAAGGAAGTTTAATTATCGCGCGGTCTAGTTACGCAATTCGATTAGATCTGTTTGGACAAAAACAGGTCCCTTTTACGTTTGTGCACTGTAAAGAATGTTCATTGTTCGTCTGAATTCTAATTTCAGATAACTAGGTGCTAGGGTTGAAATGCACAAAATCGTTTAATTAGTGTTCGTAAATGTAACAGGTCAACAAAAACTCATAGACTGTGAATTATGGTGAACTATCTTGTTCATTCCACTTTCAGGTGGCAACGAATTCGGGATAGACCAGCGTGGAACACAACAGATGGACAGTTTATGCTTACATTTGTCCATCGGTTTACTGAGCCCAAGGGGGGCACAACATTTTTTGCATTTTGCTATCCGTGGACCTATTCGGACACGCAAGCTCAATTAGCCTATCTGGAAGTGTTTTTCCGAGATCAACTTTTGGCTTTCCAAATGTCTTCCATGCATGGTGAATTGGATCTGAATGACGGTGTGGATTCTGTCATGGGAAACTCAAGCCCCACTTTGTCTAACCAGTCTGTTAATCAACAAATAGTGAAAAAGGTTTATTTTTATCGGGAGTTGCTATGCTACAGTCTCGAAGGTCGCCGAATTGATCTCGTTACTTTGACAGACTGGTCAGGCCGTCTGGACATTCGAGAAGACTACTTTGATCCTCTTCTGTTCCCCAATCGTAGCCAGCCGAGACCATGGAGGTTTGCAGGGAAAAAGGTGAGATCTCTGATATGATGGAAACAGACATTTAAAGTTTTGTAAATGTTTGTAATGAGAGCAGAACTTTACACAGTAGTTATTCTTCTTATCATATCTTTTTAACACTTTGATATATCTTATCTGTCTTTGTGGTGGTTGAGATACTTGTTTGAAGCTACGGTCCTAACTAAGTTAAAGCATGGTCATTGGTTGTAAAACCAGAAAAAGACAACGAGCCTTGGTTGTGAAACAGACTACGTTTGGTCACCATATGCCTTGAGCTTTTTTCTACCCCATAACTAGGCTGACTAGTGCGTTCTTACTCGCAATAGCGACAAACCTGAATTAATTGTGAACAACAATTTATCTAGCGTGTTTTGCGAATATTCCGGCTGAAACTGAAATTGAATTGTTATAGTTTATGCTAGCGGAGCCAGTGCGGTGGACATTACGAAGAATTAGGAGCTCATACAGTAGAAATTTCACTTTCCACTATTACTTAAAAGTCTTCTTCAATCAGTTATACTGTAATAATAATAATGTCTGTTTACTTCCTTTTTTATTTATTGAATATATACAAATGTACAGTCAACATTCATGAAGGGGGGTCGTGGTCATACAAAGGCTGCCTGGGAAGAGGGGTGGCGGTGGAGTGGTTCGAACCCCGGACTCCCGGGTCACAAGTTGATGACCTAACCACTCGGCCACTACCGCCCTTTGGATGAGAAGATTACTTCTAATGATCTAGCCAAAAGAAAACTATTTTCCATCTGAAACATGAGCATGCAATAAAATAAAACAAATGCTTACCTCGATTTCATTCCCGGAGGCTCATCGGGGATATTAACTTCCGTTTAGGGCCATCTCTGACAGTCGAATAGTAATCATAACGGAATGGACCCAGCTGATGATTTTTGATCGAAAAGAAATGCTTTGCTGTAGACAAATGAAAGATTTTCTATTCAAAAATTAAAAACCTACGTTCACAACTGCATCAGGTTTGACGAGCACGGATGACAGTCAAGAGGATGGTAGGTAGAAAGATCAGCTCGCATAGCTGATGGTTGTAAAAACGGAAACCGAATGGCCTAACTTTACCTGAAAGTACTGTCCCTTTCAGAACAAAACTTTTTGTGAACAAAATACAACAAATAATATTATCTCACTATTTGCACTATTTAGTGGTGAGTTAGTCATCAAATAGACCTAGGGTAATATTTATGTACTCGAACGGTGAATTTTCCGCTTTTCATCAATTTATACAACAAATGGTATCCATATAAATATGTATTGTTTTCTACACTGGGTGTAATCTTTGAGAGCACGCTTTTCTGAAGCAATTTATGTTGGGATCAATACTGTGAGTAGATATTGCATCTGGGTCCTAGATGCTAATAACCTCGACGAATTGGGCTGAATCCCATCATTGAAATCATATTTTAATGACGTAATAACTTGTGTCTGATGAGCGGTAGTCACCATGAAATGAGTCCCATATTTCTAAGGATTTTCATTCGATCGATTAGACACAAACTATAACCAGTTTTACAGATATAGTACCAAAGTATCAACGGATTACAAGGAACCATAGCTAATCATAGTTCAGAGTGAGATACGAAGAAACCATTTGCTTCTTTTTTTAGTGAACACAAAATTTTTTTTAATTTTTTTGGCGGGGGGTGCGTGGGGGAGTCTATAGTAGGAAAGGAATTTGAAACACATGAAAACATTTGTGATAACGAACAAAGAGCACTGGACAGCTGTTTCGTCCTGCTTGGGACTCATCAGCAGTGCGTACTTTTTGTGTCCCTGTGGCATTTAAATACACACAAACAGTGGGGATTAACGATCTCCTAAGGAGTGAAACCCACACCGAAGACCATCAAGAGTGCCTGGTGCCTCTGAACAATTGAATGGGCTAATCCGAGCTTGATATTCTAAACATGAAAATATATTCACGTCACTGACTTTTATTCATTGCCGTATCCGATAGTGTCTCCGGTAAGCAAAAAACTGAGTGGTTGAGGCCTAAGTCTTGACATATGGTTAAGTAAAGCGGACTTTGTCCAGGCATTCGTTAGTCACGGCTCAGCCACCTTTGCTGATGCGATAAAGTTATGGTGCCTACCTGTCAATAATGACTTCTGTCCTCAGTGGTACACACGTGATACGCCCGCAGTAAGCATACGATGCTGTGCCGACAAAGGTTATCGAAACGAGACCTCGGATATCGTCACCTCAGAGAAGCCAATTTCTGCAACCATAGAATAACACTGAACGCATTGTTGCGCTCGTTAATTGAAAGGTGTATATTGTGCCGGTGACAGTCAGAGATGTTGCAAATTGGGCACGAAGTTACACAATACAAGTGGGGCATTTGCTGCCTAAAAGTTCTCTTTAAAAATACTGACAGTTAAAACAGCCAGCTGCGGTTGTTTAATCCGTCTCTGGGATTTGTTGCAATCTGCAACTAGAGAATTTCAAATCAATAATGCCTTATAAACAACACTGAATACCTGTCTGGTATTGGCTAACACGCGTCGTTCTTGTAACCCAGTCAGGAGAATGTTGTTTAGGTGTTTCACATCTGTCTCTGCTGAGCATTGAGGAACTAACCGACCTAGTAGAAATCTCAGAAATGTCAAATGGAACCTATGAAATTGCAACTGTAGTGAAAGTGAATGATGAAATCAAATCTGTATGAATCAGTTCAAAAAGCTGTTTTTTGTTTTATTCATTTTAACGCTATTGCTTTTCTTTTAACCTCTCAGCAGGCAAACAACCTCTTACTATGAAAACAGAAACATTATTTGATTATTATAAAACGAAAAATGCAGGTTTAACCGGAAAAGTGAATTGATTTATCAGTGTCATGTTTGATAAAATTCTTTCACATCTTCAGATGATGATCCGCAATGGCATGATTCAATTAGAACATAACAGATGACAGTTCAGTTGACGCTTTATTTATCTAAACCGAGTTATGATCTGATTGACATCAACGTTATTCCAACCTCTGATTACCTCAAAAGTATATCCGATGGGCTTCCTTTCCAGAAACCACCGAAAAATATACCTAGGCTTCGACTACTAGCGCACTGCAAAGGCAATCATGGAACAACTTACGTTTGTAAATGGAAGGGGTGCGTGTATTGGGCTACGGGTCAGGGAATGTAGATATACTGCAGAAATGATAATTATTTGGCGTTGAAATACTTCGGTAAGTTCTAATTATATTGGATGATCACGTGATAACTTGTATAACCAACAAACGGATATACTTATGTGAAGTCTTCAAACAAGTATGAACCAAATGCGTAAGGTTCTCGTTGATTTACGCTGAACAATGACACATCAATAATAGTAGTGAATGGTTATTCGTGGAATTATGAAACTTGACTTCAGGTGGATTTCGTCATACAATAAGGATCGATTTTGAATAGGGAAAGTACCACACTGCCCTTAGGGGAAGTTATGATAGTTGAACACAACTGAATAAAGTGAAATGGGTCTCTCCGTTGTGTACAATGCTTTAACTCTTTTGTCTTTTGCATAGTTCATTCTCTGCGTGGAGATTGCAGAAAATCACACTAAAATTCTATCTTAAAGCCGTATATGCAAGCCTACGTTACTTATAGTTCCAACCAACGAAATTGATAATTGGGGTAATCAGGGAATACCGTTTTAGGCCGGCAAAATCTTTAGAAACCTAGGGACTCATCGCCAAGGCAATGCTTCTAGTCATACACTGGAATCCAAAACAGTGGTCTCCACCGGAACCGCACACTCCTCGGATTGGTGAACGCTAGTCTAGGTTTTGTTAAATGCGGTATAATTTCTTCCCTCACGTACAATTTTCACCGTGCAATTCTGTCAAACTTAGTGCGCGGTTGTACCGCTTTGACATGCTAACTTTCTTTCACAACGTTATTCCCCTTGAGGAAACAAATATTCTTGTCGTTAGCATTTCATACTTGATGTTCATCGTCGTATTTGTCGTGCGCGAGGAAGAAAATCATAATTATAGCGCAACCGAGATTGTTTTAAGATGAATGGGGAAAACCTTTCATTGCTGTTTAGGTCATGATAAGGACTAAATCGTCTCTTCTGCTAAAACCATGGTGCCATAAAAAAATCATTGATTAATAGTCTCATGGAAATGTGAATATATCCTCATGCAGACAATACATAATGATAAAATATTTGTTTTACTCTCCCTAACAATCCCGAATTACCACATCAAGATCTCGTGTACTGCGATCATATGCAAATAAGTCGAAGCCAGAAATACGCTAAGTGAAACAATTGGTCATGTACTCTTGATCAAAGGTTCCTTTAAGGCCAGATTGAAATGTATTATCACGATCAGCTTTCAGCTGAGAGGGTTAGGGAAATGCTAGTGAATGTGTCTGTTAATCTACTAACCTGAAACCTACTCCCATGATCCTCAAGAAAGAGCTTTCCAGAAAAATCGCCATATATCCTGAGAGGTTGGTTTAATTCGCTATACTCATTACGCTGAGGTAGAATTTATATCTGTGCGAATTTCCTAAGCATTCGTTTACATTTCATTCGAAAAGCAGTCGCTCATGATGATCAAATTGGATAAGTGCATGTGATATCACGTGCTTCGGAATGGTAGAAAGGTGAAAGATGTGTTTTACACGATAAATCACACAAGCAGGGAATATTTGTACACCGAGATTAGGCATTGCTTTGTGGGTGATAAATGGAATACTAGATTTCTTATGCATGTGTATGTGGGTGATTGTATGCCGGTAATTAGAACAGGTTCTTGAGTGAGATCGGCAGGAAGACGGGTAACAACAAATGAATATTATTCCATAGCATTTTGTGAGTAAACTTGGTCGATGCAAGATGAACCACGTTGATCCACAAGCTTATAAGACAATTCCTTAAAGGAAATGAGGCGGGCAAGACTGATCATCATTGAGCCACACCTTAGAATTCTGTACTCCTGTTTTAAACGTGCGGAACACATTATAGGCAAACAATAGAGTAGCATAGGAAGGGTACACTGGGATACATACACAAGGACGATTGGTTGTGTGGTATGCGATTGCCTGAGCTTACGAATATGGAATGATTGTCACCGTGATTTATTGATGCACAACTGAATGTACAACGTTCATCGTAAGTTATTGCTGATGGTATTTCCCAAATGCTTGATGGAGTCAACTCTCGAAATCGAGTCAGAAAGTTGTAGTTAGTCTTCATATTGTCCTTGAGTGAAAGCATTTAGCTGAAATCAGTATGAGTACAAAGGGAAAAGAAATGGGCTAAATTTTTGACATATTTTCCGGGTCTATCGAGATCATCAGTGTTTGCAGACCAAAAGCTAAATGAGCTGCATTCGAATCTGAGCAGAGGAGGTACCAGAAAAGCAATTAATTGGGGTAGAAAATAAATATGAGGGAATAATTACACCTTGGAGCATTTCAGAGTTGTTGACAAGGAGACTGAAGGAAATCGTGTCTATCTTGGTGTGATTTATTCCCACTGAAATGATCGGATAGCCAGACATGCGAAGGTTTCAAATTTTGGGACGTGAAGTGACAAGAAACTCGCTTCGAAAACGGAAGAGCAATCAAGACATAACCAATACAACATTGACTTCGGTTTATCATGGAAATGTTTGCTAATAAAGTGGATGATGTAACCCACTGTATCTAAGGCACTTTGGTTACGTTGTTATGCTAATTGGGAGGAGATGACCTGCGGAACAATAACGTATGATACCATGACGACACAGTTGACTCTGTTAATTCCAATCGAAATCCTCCCATTAAATCAGGTGTTCCATGCAGGTCACGGGCTAACTGGCTACAAACCTACTGGGCTGGGTTAGTAATTCACATTTGACTCACAGTTATTTGTGAGTAGTGGTTTGGGATAATTGATATTGATTGACTAGAGAAATGTACGTGAAGGTGAAATCTCTCGAATGAAATTTTACCGCAACTCAAGGGCTGGTTTACAATGGACAAGATCATCTCACTCAATGGACCAGATTCAAATTTATTAAGTGACAGAGTAGCCCACTTAAGCCTGGTGCAAAGGGTTCTCTGGCGCTGCGTAGAATTCTAAATCGATCTCCCCGGTTAAACTTCCGGAGTGTAGTAGTTTCACAGGATAACTACGAATCAGGAGATTTTGTATCTGTTGTCGAGTGAATGAAAGTGACATTTGGTTTATCCACATCTAGAAAAGAAGTTTGGTACCCTTTCATGGTAGTTTATTGCTCTTGGCCCCGTAGAGTTTGCAAGGGAATAAAGTATAAAAATATTTAACCTCCGCTTCAATTTACTTGAAATAATAATTACTCCGCCATTATCGTGTGGCTTGGATACAAGTTCCAGCAGCCATCATAACAGCTTCAAATAAGCAAAACCTGATCAAGCGTGGCACACAAAGTCTGTCTCCACTGAGGGAAGATGTTGTTCAAGATGTTTCTGAACAGAATAACCCAACTCAAGACTGATGAGACCGGGAAGGGGAAACGTGAAACAACCTTAGGGGGTGTCCTATGAAACGGAGATATCATTTGGCGAAAAATTGCGTAAATGGAAAGTTATTTGCCCAAATTTCACTCACAAATCGTAGAAACATTGTAACAACTTCCCCTGTCTAACTGGAAAAAGTCGATCACAGATGAAAACAGTAACTCATGGGAGAGGGGTAAATGTTAGGCTGGCTAGTGACCACTCGACCTAAAATTGAATTATCTTCGGTGGAGCAGAAACGAAGATCCACCAAATTAAAAGATATTGGTGGGCAAGTAGTATTATGACTGAAATCATTAACAATCAAGTTACGGGGCCGAAAAACGAAGTTAGATTCTGTTGCGGACAGGAAGGGTCAGTGTAATTGTGAGTCATTCCTGTACCTCTATGACGAGAAAATTTGGGGTTACACTGAAGTTTTAAACGATCACTACCATTGGATGATTAGGTAAACCTAGCATCTCACTTTTTGCACTAGGACGATTTCATGTACCCCGCGGCCTCTGATATTTTGCTTGCATAATTTTATTGTCCTGTCGATCGTACTGAAAACCTTCTAGACGTACTGGGTCATTATAACATTTTGATTTCACCGGAATTAGTGGTCAGCTATCAGGCACGTGTTAAGTTGCATTCTTGATTTTAGAATGTGCATCAGATACGACAAACCTTGAGACCAGCGACCCAATTTCAAATCTGATCAAAGAGGCCTGTAATTGAGAGCAGTCTCCTATTTGAACGTGTGTTTGCTGGAGTCCGGTATATCGCGGAACTGTAGCGGCACTAGATATGTACCCGAAGTTTTCAGGTATTTAGTAAAATCTAGTAAATATGAAGGAAGATATTTCGTCGATGAAATGGCTTTTTACATAGAGCTCATCGAGGAACAAGACGATCTGGTATTTTAGCGTGAGCAGGTGTTTTGCAATTGTTGGATGTCATATGCCTCTGTAAGTTGGGTGGGTAATTCGAATGTGAAAAGATCAGTGTTTTAGGTGTGGCATCGTCGTAGCTCAGCTGGTAGAGCGTGCGCGTACAAGGCGTAGGCGGCGCCCATGCGTGGATTAGAATCCCACCGAGGCTACTGAACTTTTTCACAATCCACATACAAACATCAAATCTGCCAAACATTCATTTGCACAACAGAATGTCTGTCATTTTGAAGAAAATGATGAGACAGAAAACCATAATCGAATGTTACTACAGTTTCACTCACGGCGCTTCAAAACCCAAAATATGATTGCCTATTTTTTAAACAAGTGTATTTGTAACACTATTCAATTTGCCGCAGTAAAACAGGGTGTGGCTCCGGGCAAGTTCATGGCAAAGATTTAAATACATAAACGAATACACCAATTAATTGTCGTGGCATTTAATTTTCTAAATTTATTGCATGCTCTAGGAGAAGTTGAGTCATGTCTACCGAGCTGCAGGAAGAAGGCTACAGAAATAGCGATTCAGTTTATTAAAAGAAATCAATGGGATCAAATAATATGTAAACAGAAATACCATTGGTTAAACGGGTATCGACTAATCGCTGTTCTTGTTGACCGAGTCAGATGACTGCATGGTCTTTGATTGTTCGCTGCTACTGGTCTGAGTTCCGTTGTCCCAAAAAACTATAACGCGTAATCCCTTGGCTGGCGTTATCCTGGAGGGTTGAATCACCACAGTTGGTTATTTATCAAAGTAATATTTTCCGTAATCTCCCTCATTTTTACCAAACCTCTTTCCCTCACTTCCTTTTCATTCGCATCGTGCAACCCCCAAACCCGTGACATGATATGTGTATATCCCTCGTTGTGAATCAATATGACAGTTAGACCATAATATGAACAAACTGATTTAACAAAGCAAGTAGTTGTATTTCAGTGAATTTGTTTCACTTTTTTTACAACTACCTAATTCAATTCATTCAGTTTTGCGGCGAACTCATTTGAATGTATTTTATCCTATTTCTGCTTCTTGTTCAAGGTTGTCCTGATTACAGCAAGAGTACATCCGGGTGAGACACCTTCAAGCCATGTATTTAACGGATTATTAGAACTATTACTACGACCTCATGATGCCCGGGCTTGCCAGCTGCGCCGACAGTATGTATTCAAGTTGATCCCGCTGCTCAATCCAGACGGTGTGTTCTTGGGTCACTATCGGACCGATACGCGGGGAGTCAATTTGAACCGTGTGTATCTGGCCCCGGATTTCCTTTACTATCCATCGATTTACGCGTGTAAAGCCCTAGTCGTTTATCATCACACCCATTACGCAACAAAGTCTCCCTATGCCAACTTCCTGGATGATTTCTTGCTTTTACTTCCATCTCAGTGTGAGGTTGTAAGNNNTAAATGTCACAAAAGTCTTCGTACGGTACAATCGCCCACATTGACATCTACCGTGACCAGTCAGTCGACAATAGTTGAACAAACACCTACTCTCCGAAACGGTCCCATATCTATCACCCCGACTGGTGAACCGGCAAGCAATGTGAGTATTTATTTCACTACTTGGTGCGTATCATTTTTTTCAGACATTGGGAGAAGAACAAGAATCTCATTTTTACTCTTTTTGCATACGTCTCTNTCTCTCTCTATATATATATATATATATATATATATATATATATACCGATGCGACCCACTGGGTTTAAAGTAGTGTTGTGTTGTGATCTTTACAGGTTTTTAGTTCACATTTCTTCCCAGTAGACCACTAGCACACAGTTTGAACAGAAGTCAATGTAGCGAACCAAAACCTGTTTTCAGCGGTTTTTTGTCCATTGTCCATACACCACAGTTTGTATAACTATATTCAAAGAGAAAAGACTATATCATTTCCAGTCTGATTTGAGAAACTATCACTTTGAATTGAGAAAGAAACGCTGTGGTTGGATCCTCTTCTATTCAGCGCTCCTCATTGGTCAATTGGTCACACATTTTTTCTACCCCCGGGATTGACCACCTGTCTTCCCACGTTCTTTCTGTGTCTTGCATCTTGACGAGCTCTGTGACGGACGTCGATTCGGTGCGTAGGTGAAGCCGTGTGATTTGCGCGAGACAGCTAAGCTGAACCCGACTCGATAAGCATGAAGGGTGACACACTGTCCCGTGCGCGTACATTCATATTGCAGTGACTTGGTATTGATCCATTTGGAAGCGGTCTTATACTTCACACCATTGTGTTTCGCAACCACAGATCAATCCTGTCCCCGTTCGAAAGCTAAATCGATTCGCTTGCGCACTCCGTTGTCAGCACAGTTGTACAGGCCTCGGAGTATAATGAAAAAAAGTAAATAGAAGAGGACAAACAAAATTTATTTTTACCACACCCGCATAGGTCTCCTCGTACCGTAAATTTTTGGTTTGCGTTATCGTCAATGTTTAAGCTAAAACGTTGATCGCGCATGATCCGTGATTCGCATGATCCACGTAATGAAAAGTGCCTTGCTCGGAGTACATTGTAAGAAGTGAACTCGTCTCTGTTCGTGGTAACCTTTGATGACTTAGCTAACGTCAATGTCCATATGCTAAATAATTTGAAAATGGAATAAGTTGATCGTAGTTGAAGTAAAGTCCAAGGAAATGTAGTTTGACGCATGAAAATTACTTTTGTTGTTCGCTTCTGTTTTACTCCCCAACACATTTCATTTGCAATGAGCATACACCTTTCCCGTTGATACACCACAAAACACAAACTCCTTGTTTTGATACCAAATGTAAAATAAGATAGACTATGAACGTGTTAGAACGATGAGGAAATCTTTATTTTCAAAATTGTCTCTTGGCTGGCACCAGTAAGTTTTCTGTTTTTGTTTACATTATCGCGTCCCAGAAATATTTCAGGAAGACAAATTGTGAATACTAATTCTAATTTGAGGCATTGAGTTCCCTTTATCCATTTCATCAAAACATAAAGAAGACACATGTCGCGAGATGTTAACATTTCGTTTAATCTTCTCACTCGCTGACTTAAAACAAACAGGCACATATATAGCACATCGGATGAATCAATTTTGGTCAGCGAGTGTGAAGATTAAACGAAATGTTAACATCTCGCGACATTTGTCTTCTTTCTGTT